TAATGATTTTTTGAGGCTCTAGATTTTTGCTGCCCAAAAAAAAAGATGTAGTTTATGTAGATACATGTTTGAGAGACTAAAACAAATACAAATTTAGTTCTATAAAAGTAAACACTTACGATAAATTTTAGTCAACAAAATCAATAAAGAAATTTATTTACTCTCGACCAAGAAAAAAAAAGAAATTTATTTACTTACATCAATCAAAACCAATTCGAACCGAATTGATATAAATTCAGTGAAAAAATTTCCATACCGAAATAACCAAACCGAACCGAATTATCCGAATACCCATCGCAAACTAGTTCATAAGAACTTTCTTATATCTTACGCTAGTCAACACTGCAGTTTCTGTCTTGAGTGCAGATGAAGTTCACTTGTGCCCTAAGAAATGGAAGATTCATCGAGGAAACATCACAGTGATCGAAACATCGTCGACTGAAATCGCAGAATCTTTGTCTTTAGGTTTATTCATAGATCTATTTGTAAGTTTCGCCGAGAAAGGAACGGTGACGAAAGCAGCTTCTGTAGGTTTAGGTATTGTCAAAGTACCGTCTCTTGCAAGCCAAACTATTACAGAGCTCATGGTTGGTCTATTTGCTGCTTTCTCTTGAACACACAACAAACCAATCTGAATCAACTTTACGATCTCGTTTATCGGATTCTCGCTTAAGTAAGGATCGATTATACTCTCAGGCAATCCTTCGATCCATCTCTTCCATGCCTGAATCAGAAGAAAAATGTTCTTATACGTTTCTTATATCGAAAAAGAATGAAAATGTGATCAAAGAAGCTTACAAAAGCTGGAAGTCCTTCTGCTTCGAAGTTCTTGTTTCTTTCACCACTTATCATCTCTAGAAGCATAACACCGAAGCTATAAACATCCGATTTAACTGAGAATTGTCCATGTTTTACATACTCTGGAGCCATATATCCACTGCAAGAATCAAAATCGGATTAATGGTGATGCTGATTCCAAGGATCATTGTATGTTTTGTCTAAAACATTCTGTAAAAAAACAGAGCATATGTCTTATCTGAAAGATTCTGTTACAAAAACAGAGCATCCATTTCTAAAACAGAGCATCTATGTATGAAACAGAGCATACGTACTAGGTTCCAACTACTCTGCTAGTCTCTCCTCGAGTCTCATCCATGTTAAACAACCTCGCCATCCCAAAGTCTGCAACTTTAGGGTTCATCTCAGCGTCTAAGAGAATGTTACTCGCCTTTAAATCTCGATGAATAATCCTCAATTGAGAATCTTCATGGAGATAGAGAAGCCCTCTTGCAACTCCTTCTATGATTTTGTACCTCACATCCCAAGTAAGTAACCAACGCTTGTCTTCATCTAAAGATTTTCAAAGAAAAACGTTTTTTTCTTTTAAAATGGTAAGAGTATTGACACATTACAATATTCGTCTTGCGAAAGGCTTACCGAAGATAAAATGATCAAGACTTGAATTAGGGACAAGCTCGTAGACAAGAATCTCTTCATCTCCTTCGTTACAAAACCCAAGAAGCTTAACAAGATTCCTATGTTGGAGTGTTGTCAAGAGTAAGACCTCATTCTTAAACTCTAAATCTCCTTGTCCTGAACCTCTAGCTAATCTCTTTACCGCGATCTCTTGCCCGCTCGGTAAAATCCCCTGAAAAAATCGATTCGTGCTCTATATGAATTCACTGACCCATCTAAAGATTTTGCATAGATTTATAAAAGTTTTTAAATGAAATTTTTGTTTTATATTAAAGTTCTTACCCTGTAGACAGATCCAAATCCGCCTTGTCCAAGCTTATTTTCCGGTGAGAACTCATCGGTTGCAATCATGATCATGCCAAGATTAAATCTTGACATAGATTGACCATCAGAATCAGAATTTTCTGCACATACATAAAGGCAGGTTCCTTCAAGACAAAACTCCAAAACCTTTTCGAACATTTTTACTGAAAAATTCTAAATATAAACTCACTATTGATCTCAGCATAAATCCTCCTCCTCATTCGGCGATAAGCAAGCACAAACGCAAGAAACACAAGGAAATTAATGAGTGTAGGAACAACGATAACCACAACGCTCCATGGTTGAAAAATTCTTCCTGAAGATTCCCAAAAACAGTTAACTTCTATGCAAGTGAAGTCAATTCAACATTTCAGCAAAAATATTTTCCATTAGTACCTTTCTTGATCTGAGCATCTTGTGGAGGAGGCTGAGGAGGTCGAGGAGGTGCGGAAACTCTCTGTAGATTATCGAAAGCACCTATGAAAGAGTACAAATCCCATCGGAAATGACAACTAGGTCGAATAATTGTTCCCCCAATTTTTCCCCAGTAATCTTCTAGATTATACGTAAGACTCTCTCTCAGACAATGATTACAATCACTAGAAGATAAATCAGGTGTGCATTGCATCAACATATAAACCTCAGGAGAATCTGTAAACTCTGCACTTGAGACTCCATAGTACTTCAAAACCGAAGACTCATCAGCCTTGGATGCAACCTTGAGCGTTCGATTAGCCATCGCGATAAACTCTTTTGTGAAACGGGTCAGATTCGTAGTTGGAGGAACACTCGCGTGAGGAACACTCACGAGTGGATCAAGCTTTAGTATACCAAATGTAGGGCTAGCTGAGTAACGTACAAGACAAGAAACGTTTTGATCGTTTTCGGAATCCCATTGATATGCTTCAGTTTTGCCTTGACATTGAGTTAACAGGTTTCTACTTACTCTCTCGACGCAACGACGACAAGCTCGATCCTCGTAGTCTTTTCGACAAAGAGCAAGAGCGTAAACTCCGCCTAGAGAAGCGTTGTAGAAACCGCGTTTTTCGATAACGTTTGAAGCAAGAGTAGGCAAGAGATCTTCGAGGTTTTCGCCGTAGGTTGTGTTTGGAGAGAAGTTTTCGTCGCCGCAGAGTATGTAGCTAGTGTGAACGCCATTGATGGTTAAGAGAAAGAAGAGAAGAAAACAAGAGACGTGAAAGAGAAGAGATTTTTCCATCTAAACAATTAACATCTTATTATTGAAACCGCTTTAAATAAAGAGTTTTTTGATTCGTGAAAAAAGTCTTTGAAGATCAAGAAAGAAAGAGATCGTTTTCATTCGTGAAAAAACCTTTTTAGAAACCCTGACTTTTACATTGTGACGTAAGGCACAAAGTTAAGATTTTTCTTCCCTCTCTTAAATTCCGCTTAACGTAAACGACACGGACACTTCATTTTTCTTAAGTTTGTAAATGTCTACGATACTTCGACATTGGCGAAACGTCGTCGTTTCCATTTCCAAACATTATGGAAAACGACAAAATGATATATATATAATTTTTTTAACGTTTGGATTTT